AAGAAACTTTTTTGGAAATTCAGATTCTTTTTTTAATGATGTTAGGATAAGACAAAAAAAAAAAAAATTTTTTTTGCTTATTTTTATTAGCATGGTTTTTAAATATTATATGTGTAAAGAAGAAGTGTTGGGTATGAATTCTTTAAATGAAAAGAATAAAGGTGTAAATATATTCAACTCTTTTAAGAATTTCTTTTCTAATTTGAAACTAACATACAGGGTGTTTATAAAGTCCCGGACTCCTTTTGATGTTTAATAACTCATAAAATAATGAAGATATAAACAAGCTTATGGCATTTATTGGTGGAATACCTTATATATTTTCCTTTTCAGGTTTGAATATCTTTACTTTTGTAAATATCGTCTGCGTGTGTGGAAAATTTCATTTTCCAGTCTAAATATATGTACTTTTTTAAATATCGTCTGCTTATTAATTGATTTTTCTCTCTTTTGTTTTCGGCAACTATTGCAATGTTATGGATTGTTTCCTTTGGGGATTTGTAAAGGATAACGTTTATAGGAGAAGAGTGTCGAACATTGATGACACCTAAAAGCCAGAATTACAACCGCAGTAGCCTGTGTGGATGACGACATGCTTGCCAGTACCTGAAATTGAATATCGACTTGATATTCTCCGTGCGACGAAGGGAGCACACGTGGAAGTTCAATTGTAGAGTCATTAGGTTAATTGGAAGCAGAAAAGATGAAAAAATATGCAACCGCCTTCGCCGGGAATCGAACCACGGACCTCTGGAATACCGGCCCAGCGTGCTACCGTTACCACGAAGGCACGCTAGGAAAGTGGGAGAAATACCTTATACATTGACAAGGGTCATGAAACTTTTTGAGTCTATCTAACCATTTATGTTATTAATTTTAATCTATCTTTATTATTTTATGAGTTATTAAACATCAAAATCGGTCAGGGACTTTATAAACACCCTGTATTTTAAATGTGTCAATAACAATATATGGAACATGAGCATTTAAGGCTGCACAAATTGATTTGTAGCGTTTAAAATTATGTTTTGCAATGTTTGTAATTATGGTCACATGTTTAAAATTACGTTATTAAAAGATATTAATATATTGGCGTATTGCTGGTTGCCTGACTAACATATATTACGAAAAAAATTCATATAACTTCATTAGCGGGAGGGTTGAGCTTTGTAATGATACTAATATTTCGATATTAAGGCCATATTTATCGTCAGCAATCTAATATCGCCGTGTTCTACTACTGATTTTATTGCCCGGGTCAAATTTTTCGCCATGATTTGTTTTCTACTTACCCTCTAAAATATAAAATAGAAATGCTACTAGAAACCATATGATTTGAAACTTTCACACCTCTTTGTCCGTTAGTGGAGGGGGGGAGAAATAATTGCAGATCTTAAATGGAACTTTAAGGCGTTTCGGTATTTGAAGAATAAAAGTTAGGCTAGCCTTTCTAAAGGTTAGATATTTAGAACGATTTTTTGAAATATGCATCCAATGATTTTTAGTATTAACCAAACTTTACAGCGTTTACTGCATGTATTGCCAAGAGGTTCTTACTGTCCCCCAAAATTTGCATTAAACCCAAAACGCACCCCTTAGATCTCTTCAATGCCCACCGATGGGCGGTACCCACCGGACTTTTGCGGTCGTTTTTGCGGACTTTTGCGTTTTGTTGTATATATAACAAGTCCGCAAAAGTCCTTACAGAAGCTCTATTTCTTTAACCGCTAGTCCTTGTCAAACAAGTTAAGCATTTTTATAACTTCCAGTTACAAAAATGCTTAACGGCTCAAATATTCACGTTTTCGCATTTAAATTTTAAAAAATCAATTTTGTAAAAATTACAAAAATCTAACTTTTTATGCGTCCCCCTCCGTCCTTGTCTTTATATTAACGAAAATTTAAAACTCATTACACAATTAATGTACAAAAAGTGTGACTACCGTACAACAAAAACTGGCAGAGAATTAAATTTTAAAGATGGAGATCATATTCAGAGGCCAAACAAAAATTGAAAATGAAATATTTGCACTTGTAAGAAACTATAACGAAAATATCAGTTAAGAAAAAGATTTATGAGCTTAATTAGTAAAGCCACCAGCATTTGCGTGCTAACTGTAGTGAGAAGTGATAATCAACATAGTTTTTTTTTGGGGGGGGGACCTTATTCTCTGGTAGGCTTCAACATCGGCACATAGCAAATACGTAGCATAATTTGCATAACTTAAAAAACTATCTTGTTTATTTTGTACGATTATTAGTTTATAATTCTACAGTAATAAAACTTCATCAGACTAATAATATCGTATTAGCATTTACAAACTTACAAATTACTTACGTGAAGTTTCTTTCGGCACAAAAATTAATTAATGATTGTTACATACTAGCATATCAAAAAGAATATCACTGAATAGCATTTACGAGAAAAGCATCAACATCAAATTATTCTAAAGTAGGGGTTTTCAACCATAACCATAACTCTAGGGGTTTATTTCATAGTTTCAGGGATAGAATGTGGTCAACTTTTTATTTAGCTGTTAAGTATCTAGCTTTAGTTTATGATTATAAAAAATAATAATAATAATAATAATAATAATAATAAAAAAAAAAAAAAACTACCTTTATTCAAGGCTTGATATCAGGGGCGTAGCTAGAGGGGGGCAAGGGAGGGCATCTGTCCCCGGGCGCAGAATCCAAGGGGCGCCAAACTGATGTTACGGTATTTTAGAATTAAATGTTTTCCACATTTGGCAAGCAGTAGGGGGCGCGAAATCTTCAGTTGTCCCTGGGCGCTGAAAACCCTAGCTACGACTCTGCTTGATATCTGTCAGCATTTTGCATACTTTTTGTTGTTTAATTTATAAAACGCATTAAAAAATCATATATAGCTAGATGGATGCATATATAAATATATATTTCGAGTTTTGGAAAGGAGAGGTAGATGATCATCTACAAATGGCGATTACAACGAAAAATATTTGTATACATAAAACATATTAATGTTGAATATGGATTTTCTGCTACCATCCAAAGCAAATAACACTATATATATAATGTTCTATATTACGGATTTATACATAAAAATGTTTTCTTTATAACAAACAATACTAACTTTTAAATCACTTACACCTCATTTAAAATTCCGCGTTTTTTCGAGACAGTGACTAAATTCTAAAAATTAAATTAGTATAAAAAAATTAGACTAACAAGCTATAAAAATATCTTCTCGGAGAAAATAAAATTTTACTCAAGCTTAGATTCAGTTTTTCAAACAATAACCTTTTTAGATAGTAAATTGCTTTATAGGTTAGCAACTCTTATTAATTCGAATTCATTATGTCCAGAACCTTTTAAAGTGCTTATTGAGTTACCTTTTCTACTTCTAAATAAGACTACTGTTTAAAGAAAGTATAATGTTAAAATTATGAATATAAAAACTGCAAAGCACTATTTCCTATGAAGTCAAGCCATAAACCACATTTTTCATTACGAAGGAAGAATATATTTAATTCGTGATTTAAACTTCTAAATATAATATATAGGTTCGATATTAAAAAAACACAAGCTGTAAAATGCCACAGTAGATAAATAATTACGACTTGGGAGAAAGAGGGTCGATTTTTACGTTAGCATTTTTTTTTTTTTTTTTTTTTTTTTTTTTCCTGGAATTTGTTTCAAAATATAACATCATTTTGAATCTGAACACACACACAAATCATCATATCTGAACATATGAAAAATATTTTGCATTCATTCAAAATTAATAATTTTCACTAATAATAAATGTTACTCAAAATTTGCTTAAACTTACATCCAGAAATGTTTATTTCATTTATATTTACTTCTCAAGCTCACTGAAAATCTGCTGGTTGATTAATTAATTTCGGCAACGCATTCATTGCTATCGCAATACACAGATATATTTTACATCAGGATCTTGCAAAGATTTGGTTTAATTTATTTGATTAGGGCAAAGTACCAGAGGACGATCTTCCCAAGGAAAAGGAATGTCTTCATGGAGGCACTTCTAACGGAAACTGCCCCGTATCCATGTTGCACATAGAAAAAACGGCAAAAACACCCATGTAGGCAGCCCGTTCGTCTCGAATCGTACCCAGGGTCAAAACTACTAGTGTTCATCGATCACCCCTCGGCTGCTGGTGGACAGGCTTTATAAGAATTTGTGTGTGTGTGTGTGTGTGTGAAAACTTACATGGGGCAAATTATTACCAATCTACACGTGGCGAATGTTATAATAATAATAATTAGCACTATCCCCAGGTTTAAGCCACACAAATTAAAACTGAAAAGCTAATTCATTTTTAAGGTATAAAAGTTAAGGAAAATATTCTGTAAGTCCGTAATGAAATTTCTGAAATTATTTACCGGATTAAAAAAATAAAAAAGTTAAATTCAAATCTTCCATAGTTTCTTGCCCAAAATGGCACAACTCAAATTATAGCGACTGTAATAAAAAGTAAGCAACATAATAATAAATAATAAAGCTTTTTAATGAGGTTAAAAATCCATGGTAAATGTAACATGCACTACAAATTGCATATAATTGCTGTATCATTCACGTAAACTTGTCTATAACAAAATAAAAATTATTATTTAAGTTACGTCATTTTTCTCATGATTTATATATGTAATAGTTCTGATTTGATAAATGAACTATATAGCGTAATCCAAGCGGCCTTTCCGAAATAAAAAAATTTCATTCTCGTTCAGATGACAGAAATCCGACAGACGATACCAGGTAACTTGAGGGAAGAAGAAACCAAGCTCGCGCGCGCGCTGGGTACCTATCGCTCTTTAAACATGGCTACCGAGTGCTAAGAAAAGGAACATAACGGCAATCCTGGGGAGGGCAAGATTGCACTAGTGCCAAAAATATAACCATTCAGCAACAAGGGCAAGACTGATGTGGAGAAAGTCAAGGTTCGCACAGAAAAAAAAATCAAATATAAAGAGAAGATAGATGTAATGTAAAGATTTACCGCATACAGGTGTATTGTGAAGGGACGTCCGGATCAATCCCAGAACTCTCTCTTTCTAAGCTATAGAAATTTGTCCTGTTGCACACACCTCCTTTCGCGTTGATAGGAGCTTCACAGTAGTCTCAGAATTCCACTAAAGACACCACACAACACACACTAAGAAAGACACGGGGGAAATCCAAAGGATCTAGTCAACGTCCCGGTCGTTGGAATGGGATGTGCACACACCTCCTGAAGCGGGGGTAGAAAGGGTCTTCGCGTGAAGCAGAGTATAAGTGAGAAAAACTCCCTGTCCGGCGTCTTCTGGGACCCGTTCGGATACCACACTATCCGAGACAACGGTCAAGAAGAAGTAAGGTCGAAGGAGACGAGAGCGGCGGCGAGGCGATCCGGACAGCGGTTGCGAGAGGAGGAGGACGATCCGCCGCTTTCCTCTGCTGCCATCTTGAACACGGAATGGTGGGATGGTGGGAAAGGATCACTTTGCCCGCGAGAAGGGGGGAAGCATCGCGTGACGTCAATCCGGTGGCACACTCAGGCTCTTGGATGCCGCCTCTCCTCCTCCGAGCAAGAGAAAAGGTAGACAAGGCAGGCAGGTAGATTCATCCGGCCTTGGCACTCGCGTTCAAAATGTTTTCGCGCTTCTTCTCTGTTCTAAGACCGACTTTTTTCTTTCTCCCTCTCTCTCTCTCTCTTTTCCCCCTGAACGATAGCGGTCGCTTCATTCGTATATCCAGAGAAATCTCGAGAACATAATTTAATGGTATTAACATTGCTGTAAATTAAGAATATTCTAAAATGGTATTTCAGTTCTAACAAGAGGACGAACTGCTAACAATTCTAGAAAGCGATTCATTTTCCATGCAAACAGAACGTCCGTGCTGCATTATAACAGAAGATATGTTTATATATTAAATTCTTTGTTGCAGTTAATTTTGCAGCAAAACTGTGTCATCTGAAGTAGTCATACAATTCGACTCATTTTGCAAGTAGAGAAAAATGCACTCTTTAATACATAATATGAATCCAAAGTACAATTTTATGATCTAGCTCAAGTGAGAAAATATAACCTGGACAAAGCGAGCATGAGATTTTCATAGTTTTCATCAGGGGTGAGGTAAATATTCCATTTTCCTCTAGAATGTTTTTCATAAGCAGATAACCCAAATGTGCTATTATTATAAATTCCTTTGAAGCTGATGGATCAAAACTATACAGCATTTTGAAAATTCCTTTATCATCTACCCAAGCAGAATACTTTTAATGTAGAGTTTAAGCAAATGATTTTAATGCTGCTAATTAATCGTTGTTCCAAACGATAAAGTAATTTCACAGTGATCAATAGGCGTACATTTCTAGCCTGAAAAAAAATGTGTATACTAAGTTATCCTCTATTTTCTATATGTATTCATTCGACTGTACTTCCCCTTCTCAAAATCCAAACTTTCTCTTGAAGGAAAGACTTTTTGACACTGAAAATATACAGAAGAAAAAAGCATCAGCTTTTGCTGCACACCAATATAATCCTCCATAGAGCTTTCCTTACCTTATACGATCACGCCATGTTTTGCATTAACGCATAAGGATCGTATTTCAGTCTCTATTCAATGACTTTTCCATTTAAAAGAATGCAGTATAATTATATAATTATCCCACTGTGTAGGGATAATCATTATCATAAACAGAATATTACCAAAAACCTATTATCAATGCAATTTGCACGAATAGATTACTGAAATAATACATATATTGATATTTTTCTTCATTATTATAAAAAAAATTTTTTTAATTAGAACCTAGGTAAATTACAGAAGCTTAGTATATAACCTAATGAAATGACGCAATTTATCTGTTCCGTCACAGAACAATAAATCGATCTAATCTGTCTGTTGTGAATTATTAAATTTACTCTTCTTTTTAAGTTTTAATGAAAAACAGGAAAATGTTTACGTACAATGATAATTCAGCATTGTACAACCTCGTATTTTCTTAAAAGTTATCAATCTGAGATTAATTCAAACATTATTAAATATTTAAAGGAATCTATACCTCAGTTTCTTTTATCAGAAAATAACGATAGTTTACACATGGAAACATTACGATAAATCTAACAAAAACTAATTTTGAATGCACTAATATGTAAAGTTAAATTATTATATTAATATAAAATGAGATGATTGATCACATTGACGTTAATTAATATTTTATAAGAAATTTATATTATATGCAATCAGTGGCGCAGCTAGGCGGAAGGGGGGGAACATCTGTCTTCGGGCGCAGCATCCAATGCGCCCCAAATTGTCTTCTAAAATTTCAAAAAATTCTTCTATCTGTAACGAGGAAACGAAATCTAGTGTCCCGGGTCAAACCCTAGCGGTTTTATGCATTTATAACCATTCCTACCAAAATGCCAAAAGCGAAACTAATATTTCTATGCTTTTGAAAAAAAAAAAAAAAAAAAAATCTGAAATGTTTCAGATTTTAAATTACGTCCAAAGGGGCGTTTTTTAACATTTTGTGTGTTACCTTTCTTTATTAAATATCATGTTCCTCGCACTTAAACCATAAGATCCAGTGCAACAGCAATATCGCAAAATAGTTTTAAAACGAGCATATCTTTAGAATTTCCGATACAGAGACTCACGCGCTGGAGATAAAAATGTTTTTTTCTGCACAACGTTGCCATTGCTCGCTTTGAAATCCTTGAGTTTGTTAATCAAAAATTCGTCAAAGTTTTAAAAAATAGGAAATCGATCATAAAACAAATTTCAAATTTCAAATTTGGTCTTCCACATGCTCATATTCGTTGGAGGATTACGTTATTCAAAATTCGATGACTCTATGTACCGTTGTTTTATGACAATACGAGAAATATACATACATTTACGCAGATTTTTCATTATTTATTTTCTTCAAATATAATGCAGGACTCTAACATTTTATGGCAACAGTTTGAAAAGTGAACCGACATTTATCCGTCCGACGCAAAATGCCAAAACGAAACTAATAGTCCTTCGGGATTCAAATCCCTTTGGACTAAAAAAAAAAAAAAAAAAAAAAAAAAAAAATAATTTCCTAGAGCAAAGTTTAATCTGCGCATTGTCTTTGTGTATACCTTTTTCATTAATTATTTTATGTTTCAGTTCTAAAATCTGAGAGTAAATTATTTGAGGATTACAAACGGACTGTACCGTCTTAGGATGGCACGTATAATGAATAAAAAAACACTGACGAACTAAAACATTTATGACCATCTCCACATTTTTCAATGAACTCGTCTGGATGACGTGGAGGGCTTGTGATTAAGTGGAAAAGGTAATATTTAAATGCTGCTGGCGAAAGTATGCCAGAATAAAAATAATAGTATCAAAGTATCCAACTACGGAATCATTCTTGCACTTACTTTTGGGAGTGATGGAAAAGGCTGCTGATCTAAGCAAATTTGATAGAAGGCAGATTGTAATGGCCCGAACACTGGGAACGATTATCTCCGAAACTGCACAACTCGTAGGTTGCCATAGTCTATATTGTCTGCCGTTGTCAGTATTTATGCAAAGTAGATAAATGACGGTGAAACCAGCAGTAGACGCCAAGGTATTGGACGTCCAAGTGTCATCAAAGAAAAAGGGCGTCTGAGACTGTCCCATCTGGTACAGGTGCAGGTAGAAGCTAGGCCAGCACCTCCGTAGTACCACAGTTAATTGAGGTACTGCTGAACCTAGCTAACTGTTAAACTTTCTACCCCAATTTTGAGGGAGAACAACCCGGGGGGTGTCCGAGAATCTCGCGCCCTTCTTTTTTTACTATCCCGTCTGGTACAGCAAAATCGGCGCCAAACAATGGCTCAGCTGACAATTCAATACAATGCAGGTCCAAGTATAAGTATTTCGGAACACACAGTTCAGTGGACACTGTTGGGTATGGGACTGCGCAGCAGACATCCCACTCATGTGCCTCTGTTGGCCAAGCGTCATTGTTAACTATGCCTACAGAGGGCCTGAGAACATCGAGACTGGACGGAAAGTGAAAGATAGTAGGTGATAGGATGAATCACGATTTATTCATCACGTCGATGGTCGTGTCAGAGCATGCCGTCTTGTAGGGAAAGAGTTGTCCTCCCCTTTTTACAGCAGATCATACACAGGCTGATAGTAGCGTTATTAATCTTTGAGGGACAATCTTATGGGGGCTTTGAAACTCTTAGTTGTGGTAGAACAGACCATGAAAGCTGCGGACTATCTGTATTTAACTGTGGATCAATTGCACCCTTATGTCTTGAGTCTTCCCAACTGGAAATGGAATCTTTCAGTAAGACAATGCCCCATGCCATAAGGCTCGAGGAGCATAAGGATGGATTCAAATTAATGTCCTGCCCACCTAACTAAACGGATCTTAACCCGATATAACACATTTGGAATTCCATGGAGTGGCAGCTCAGAGCTCAAACACCACCATGGAATATCTCGACTTTGGATGACCGCTGCTTAGACATTTGGTACAACCTGTCTCCACTCATCTACAAAGAACTTGTGGCATCCATGCCATGGCAAGATGCAGCTGCTTTGTAGTCCAAAAGTCGCGGAATGCGTTATTGAGTATGTGGTCACAGTGTTTTGGTTTTTCTGTGTATTTCAAGAGTTATAGAACGGAGTTTAATATCATATCATAAAAATTTCTGAATAACAAACGTAAATAAATTTTACAAGGTATTTAAAAAATGACAGAAATTTGTGATGTCGCTCACTTCATATATTAATATTAAATGCAAAATTCTGTAAAAAATCGCTGAACTGAAAGCAAACTTGATAGTTTCTGGTTTTGCTAAGTCATAGTTCGCAACTTCAGAAAATTCTCAATAATTTTTATCTCCTCAGATGCGACTAAATAACACCACATAAAAATTAATTCCAGATAATACTCTCCCCCTAAAAAATACATAAATTTAAGTTTTTTTTCGCGTTTCTAAAATCATAAAAACATGCCAAATTTTCCAAGAACAGCATTTTTCTTAGCAATGAATGCTAAGATATTTAATTATCTTTTATAACGAATGATTGAAAATATGCGATAAATTCTGAAATAAGATATTAAATAAATATTTACGTACATACTTCAAATTTAACTGACATGAACTATTTAACAAAACCATTAAATCGGAAAAAAAAAATACTGTCCATGAAGCCCACAAATATTTCTTTTTTCGATAAAATATATTCTTTGTGAGTGCGGTACATCCTGGATATCGAGAATCAACACGATGCAAAGGGGAAGGTCCTAGAAAAAATTTATTATTATGATTATGCTGTATTTCTAAAAATCAGTTTTCAGGGGAAAGTTTAAAAATAAATAAAATTGGTATTAATTTCAGTATAAAACCGTCTTCTTTAAGTTGGGATATTTGACACCATCATGATGGCTGGGAGCATAAATGTCGTCTGAAAGCACCACTGTTTGTTAAATGCCTTTAAATTT